GAAGCATTCATTCACTTTCCGGTTGGGCTTATAGCCACTGACAAAATTGGCAGGGAAGTCTTTCGGTCCTCCAGCATGAACGTGTATGCGCAGCCAAAGCACAACAAAAGGCAAAGAGTGCACGCTATCCGAAGGATACGCCCTGCACCTGTTGTCCGTCAGCGACTACCGTGATTTCCCGGTCCCATTGGTTTAACTCCGACTCAAGATGCAAACCTGCATTTTTTTTGATCTGCCGACTCCCGAAAAGCACTGCACCTACGGCCACCAGGGTCCCTATCATTTCGTCGAAACTTGTTTCGTGAAATTACATTTCCTGGACAACTTTCCATGGACACACGTTTTGTCGACACAATCATTTCATCGACACTTGTTACGCGAATTGCACGCTGTAGAAACATTTTGTCACGCGTGTATCACTGGGGTGCGTGCTAACCCACTCCCTTGCCTGCATTCATGCCGCTTTGCAGCGACAGTCTGCGGTGGCTCATTACAAAAATGTTGAACCACCTGGCCAACCCTTACACGCCGCATCACGGCGACAGTCTCCTGCAGCTTATTACAGAAAAAAGCTAATTTGAGCTGTCAATGAAACAATTTGTCGATGAAACATTGCGTGTCGATGAAACAAACTCTGGATGAAACGTCGTTCGATGAAATGATTACCACCGCAGCCACCAACAGCCCGTTTTGCCAGTGGCCCGCATATAGCACCTAGCGACATTACAAGCCCTTCGTCGGGTCCTGTACCCCACATTTTCCCCCCGACAGCATCCTAATGTTTCTGGGGTTTGCCTAAATACATACCTCTGTGAGGTCTCCCGACAAATTCGATGCAAGAAACACCTCGAGCCACCGCTGTATCGACACCTTTATAAGAAAATGAAGTCCAAATTCTAACTTGAAAGGCCCTCTAATGAAGCATGCCCAGCCAAAGTCTGAAACAAGCACAAAAGATGCAAGAAGGTCTCGAGCTCAGCTTCGAGACTCGTGTCAGGCTCGCCTGTGCGCTTGCTCCTTGTTCGAGGAAACGGTGAAGCAATTATGGAGCCCATGTTAACCTTTGTATTGTTAGAAAGCTGGTTGTGTAATTATACCTAGAATGAAGTTACAATGAGAAGATACGTTTTGAGAGGAGCAGAGTAATCTTCGGCTTTCTTCTGTTCTTCAGCCAACTGGCTCTGTTTGCGTCGAGCGGCCCCTGCTTCGGAGGCTTCCCCGCAGTGTTGAGAAAAAGGAAAGCTCGCGAAACTGAACCAAAACTAACCTGATCATTTTCCAATTTTACGTCCTATCACACTTTCTGATAAATTCCTCTTCATTTGCCAATGCAATTTAAGATATACCCTATACTCTTCATTAGAAACTGTGGTGCGATAAAAACAAAATACTATAAAACACTATTATCAGTCTATCGCACTGCAAAAACCAGACCGGCCTTTTACATTCATATGTAGTCTTGATGTTTGGTCTAGAGGTGATCGAGATAGTTATGGTAAGTTGTCTTTAGTAATGAATGAAAAATATATGCACTATGAATCAAGACCCTCGTCTAAACTTCCTCGATATATGGCATGACCAACTTTCTCGGGTACATTCCGTGGAATAAGGTTTTCAAGGAAATATCAAAATTCTAATTGATTTGCATTCTATGATACAAAGAAAACTACAGACCTCGGGAACATTGCAATATTGTCAACAAAAGTGGAAATTGATAATTTTGTGAATGTAACCCACTAAACTCAATGCAAAAAAAAAAAAAAATGTCGAGCTGTTGAATAAATATTGTGTGTCCAAGAGCTTAATTACTGCTTATTGGTATTTATGACCTGTCATCTACATAATATATTCCTGAATTCTCATTTTAGTGCATGCACCGAGCCATTCATGCCCAAGGAAGGTGGGATGAAGGTACTTTTGTTGACTTTTATAATTGCAGTGAATGCTGCTGCAATGTCAAAAAACTGATTCGATTGAAAAGATCCTTAGCAAGTGCTAATTTATGAACAAAGGAACTCTCAAGGAAGCCTTCGGATGGCAGATGACGTGTCATTAATCTTTCTAAAAGTATGTTTCCAAGTTCCTTTTTTGCAGTTTTCGCTACCCCTCGCTTTGTCTCAAATATACCCGACTGTCGAGCTGATTCTTCCAATTGGCGATGAGACCACTACATGTCAAGTATTTACAAGCCACAACACTTGAGGCAAGCAACGTAGTATAGAATTGCACACTTGGTACAGAACTGGAGTACTGAACCAAGTAAGTTAGCCGATTATGTGAGGTACACTTATTGAAAGTTTCAGAAGTGGCTCTCTCAAAAGTAAACAAACATGGCAACATGTTACTAAAGTCCGTTGCAACTCAAGAAGGTAGGGCGTGGGAAAGGAAGGCCGGTGAGGAGGAAGCAGGAGGAACACCAGAGGAGGAGGTTTTCCCTTCTCCTCTCCAGCGTTCCGTCTGCTTCCTCCTCCCTGGCTTTCCTTTCCCTCACCCTACCTTCTTGAGTTGCAGCGGACTATATCAAAGCCTCCCAAATTTTTCTCTTGTCCCAAGAACAAACAGCAGTGGTGTCATATTGGAGAATATTTATTTTCAGTGTGAAACTTGAGATCACATGTCAATGGTCCACTGATGTCTTTGGTCAGAAACTAAATTTCTGCCCTCATAACTACTTTTGCAAGACATGCATGCCTATGTTTAGGGTTTCGCGTTTTCGGTTTCTATTTTTTCAAAATTCGGCGTACTTTTTTCGGTGTTTATTTTAAAATTCAATTTTCGTTTTTTTTCGGCGTATATTTATGCCCACAAAAGTTTATCAGCTTTTTTCGGTGAATATAAAACAAACACCAACGGGCGCCGAACCAGATGACCCTTGCAGCTCTGATAATTGTAACAGCACAGATATACTGTAAAAAAATGAACACTTTATTTGGCAAATGTGTGTCCCTGTAAAAGAAACAAGAGAAAAAAAAAACACAGAAGTACAAACAAGTCAGATATGAAGCCTATGCCTAAAAAACATGGAACTTCACCTTCTGTACATCGGGATTACGTGAACTTCTCCTCATTGGTCCGCACTCTTTCTTTCCTGTTAATATGACCCTGAGCTTTGAGAATGCCCTCTCAGCCCTAACACTGAGAGGGTGAGAGGCTGAGGAGACGAAGCCCTGCCTAAGCCAAAATCGGCCAATCAACCAATTGTGACCGCCAAACGAGACACGGTGCAACGTTTTGAAGCACAACACAACATGTAAAGCTTGCATTAAGTCAGTCTTCCTTACAACGAGTGTGAAAACACGCTCGAACATGGAGACGTCATGGGGAATTGTAGACTTCATGTTCCGATCGATGATGCGCAGATTAAACCAAAACGTCGTGATGGCATTCGTGTATCCCAATTGGGACACGTTTCGATAGACACTTTCGTTCCACTTTTTCGCCACGGCTCTGCGGTACGACTGGAAGGTCAAAGTGACCTTTCCCAATTAAAATCTGAATTTGGGAAAATGGATTTGATGTACTTTTAACGGTTTGAATCGAAAATGCCCAACCTAAAACTGACCTTTTTCGGTTAAAACCGAATTTCCGAAAATGGATTCGGCGTACTTTTATCGGTTTTTATTGGTTTATCTATGAGCGACGGTGGCAACCAGACAACCAGCAAGCTGGTTGTCTGGTTGCCACCGTCGCTCATAGATGGCAGTAGCTGTCCGGAGTTCTGTGTCATCAGGTCATTTTAGGACGAATACGATCCTGGGGAAACCAGCCCTTAACAGCTCTGCTGTAAAAATGGAACACTTTGCGAGAGTGAAATCAACTGTATATTGTTAGAAAGTGTTGTGGTAAAGCGCACAATTTGTAGTGCGCCTAGTTATTTAGTTCATTAAGACTAATTACAGTCCGTTGCAACTCAAGAAGGTACGGCGAGGGCAAGACGGGTTGGGGAGAAGGAAGCACACGGAACGCTGGAGAAGAGAGGGGAAACCTCCTCTTTAGCGTCTGCTTCCTCCTCCCTGGCCCTTCTTAAGTTGCAATGGACTATAGCTATTTTTTAATTATTTGTTTAAGAACTAAGTTTTGAATTTGAAAGTTGTACAGTGCATTGAGAAACATCCAATTTTAGATGTTTCCTACATGATACGCTTTGCAAGCTTCTTTTTAATAGCCCCCCCATCCCGAAATAAGCTCCCAAAATATTAAAAAACAAACAAAGAAAGCAAGTCACAATGCACTTGCGCATGGCGTTTGCAGCGCTCTTAGACATGCTTTGAAGGAAAGAAGTCCACCTTGTTGCTGGCGCATTGTCCAAGACAGGGCTCCGTGTTTGGGTATTCTCTGAAGATAAGCCAATCCTTCAGAGCACGCCTGAAAGCGCTGTAAGTGCGATGCGCGGAAAGCCCGAGCAGGCCCGTTGTCACATGGTCTTTTCTTAGTATTTCACGGGCTTTCCTTATAGGCTAATAAAAAAATAGCACGCAAAGCGTATCATGTGGGAAACACATTAATTGGCCGTTTCTCAGTGCGCTCTACAACTTCCCACTTCACATCTCGGCTTTTAAGTAAATAATGAAAAAATAACTAATTAGTGCTAATAAACTAAATAACTAGATGAACTCAAAAAAATTTTACACTTTACCACAACACTGTCTAAAAACATACAGCTGGTGTCACTCTCGCAAAACGCTCCATTCTTTTGTAAAGTTTGGTGCAAGTTATTTTGGACACCATGCATATGAACTATTTCAATGATGAAAATATCTAAAGCTGCTTTCCAGGATCGTGAAGTGACACTTTCGTGCTGCAGAATGCGTCCCATGTTCCTCGCACGTGTCCCTGTCCTGGGAACCAGCTGTCAATAGTTTCTTAAAGGGGCAGCGCTCTGTCCGTGTCCTTTTTTACCCTGTCCGTCGTTTTTTGCGCTGTTTTAACCTTTTAACTATACAACACACATTTTGAGTTTATCTGCCCACACAATACCGGCTACAAAAAGACAAAAAAAGCAGCGTTTACTTTTTAATTTGCAGCCAAAACAAGTGGACATGTGGTCTGTTGCTCATTATATACGCCGCCCAGGTTCATCATAGACACGTGCCGGCGATGGCAAAGCACAGGGAAGGTGCCGCAACATTTTCAGGGCTCAGCTATTGCCATCACCGCAACATTTGGGAAAGAGTCACCATCCAAACTTTCAGGCAGGTGTCGAGCCCAAGTGAAGTGCTGAAGCGGCACTTTTGTCCAATCTATGGGCCGCATTTGACCACATCCCCAAAAGGTAACGTCCACGATCACATCGATGCTGCAATCCCTGTGACTGTGTCATCAAGGTTTGTGAAGGAAAAGCAGAAAAAAGTAATGGGCGTTTACCCTAGAAATTACGCCACAACAAGGAAGCTACTCTAGCACTGGAACTGCTGCAAAAAATATTTGGGTCTAGTGTCAGTAAGCTCAGGCAAAATAAAAGCCAATCCAGCATCCTTGCATTGCTTCTCTAACATTGGACAAGCTCTCCAAGGGCCAGTAGGTTCCTTGCCAGATTCGACGGGACCCGCTGTGGACCCTAAGGAAAGATTCCCCGAGGGAAAGCCCTCCCATAGCATGACGAAATAGTTTCCAGACCAGACATACAAGGACAGTCGCCACGCCGTAACAATTTGCTTACAAGGAATTTTCCCAAGCTGTAACACAAGCTCAGGAGAGATGGTTTAGACAAAGCAAAACTGCAGGTTACCTTTAAGGCTGGTTTAGATATCCGAATTTTGCATACTGCATTACGACAAAACGCCACTACACATTATGATGGCAAATGAGGGCTGCAGACCATGTGTCAGAGTGTAACGTAACACGGCAGAGCCAATGCAGATGTCTAAACCAGACTTTATTGTGCACAAAAATTACTTCCTAAAAATTTGAACATTTCTTTTTGGCACACGATATGCACCCTTTAGAAAAAAGCAATACGAGCACATTTATTACATTACGGGTGAAGTAGAAAACCTATAACTGCAACCAAAAATGTTGGAATGCCCAATAAGAATCACCCCCCCAAGCAAAGTTGCGATTCTTGAAACCAGAGCTTTGAAGATAGGACACATCCATCGACTGAATAACAAAATACACCGATAGGATGCGTTGCATGCCCACAACTCGTATAGGCATGTTTTCGTGGCACAAACAGTTCCAGGGATGTGTATACACACAATCATTTGTACGATTTTCAGAAATAATTGCACCTCACTGTAAAAATTTTTTCTTTGTATAATGATATACATAAATCAATCTTTTCAGTAGTTTCTGCAGGATGCTACATGATTCGCGGGCCATCCCACATAAAATGTTTCAATTTGCTGCTGTGTAGAATCAATCGAGGTGCAAGGTGCACAAATTCATCCGCGTCCGCTCAGCAAACCACAGTCTATACACAGCATCCGCTTTCACACCCGAGAAGTGATTCCGTGACAATCTCAGCGGCATGCCATATGCCAGCACAACGTCCAGTCAAAAGTTGTAAAACGCAGAATAAAATGTGTAAAAGTAGCGAGAGTGTCGAGGCTAATAAAAGAAGTAAAACATGTAAAAAATATATGTTGTATAGATGACAAACCGGCGACACAGGAACAAAACAAGAGCTTGAAGCATAAAAATAATCGAGGAGGCAGTCAACGGCCCCATGCAGAGGAACCATCTTAAAATATAAGTTGGACTAGGAGAGTTGCCAGGTATGATGTAAATCTAAAATTGGAATCGAGTAAAAATTCTAGGAAAGAGGGAATCCCACAAATCCCATGCATCACTTCGACGGCCAGCACTCCACTCGACCTCTCCAGCAAGCAAAATGAATCGCAGCGAAAAAATACATTGCGGGGGCCAAAACGGCGATGGCACGGAGCACTTCCTTCAGAAGTGCGGCGACGCAATCCATCACGTTGACAGCAGGCACGGAGTGTCACCACATGGGCGGGACTTGCACCACGGACCGGCAGTATGCGTCCATGTACTCCAGTACGGGCTCCCTCAGCCGGCAGCAGATCTCGGCGAGGGCCACGCAGTCCGCCTCTGCATTGTGCGCCGACCGCACCGGACGCCCAAACAGGCGCTTATAAACGCTTCCCAGAGTGAAGCTTTGCTTGGCCCCGTTCCGAGCCCCGTTCTGGGCCGGCGCCTGCCCGGCAACAGACTTCTTGGCCGAGAAGAGCGACTTCCGCGCCGACTTGTCGGGCGGCGAATCACGGACCGGAGCGTGCCTCTTCTGCGGAGCCGCGTTAGTCGGAACGGTCCGCGACTTGGTCGGGGTGACCTCGGTCGGGGACAGGCGGAGCGCGTCGTCGTCCAGCATGTCGCACTCGTCGAAGTCCTTCCAGAAGTCGGGCGTGAGCTCCTGGAGCGCGGCCAGTTCCAGCTGCTCCGGGAGGTCCGGGTCGCGGAGGAGCTCCTTGATAACGGGCATCGCGTCGCAGCAGAGGAACGGGCCGAAGTTGACGCCGCACCGCTGGAGCTCGGCGTGCAGCAGCGGAAAGTCAAAGCCGTTCCCGTTGTAGGCGAGCAGGCAGACCGGCTGCGGCAGGACCTGCAGGAAGCGCTCCACCAGCGGCGCCACCATTTCGAATGTTGGGCACCCCTCCAGCTGCTCGTTGTCCAGACCTGAAACGGACCGAAATTAAAAAAAGTGTAGATCGAGTGCAAATCGAACTACATTCTTTCTTCGTATTATTCTTTATGAAGTGCAACATAGGTGACAATATGCGCATAATGTGCGTGTGGATGCACTTCTTTGACTTTATTTTGTGATCTACGAAGCTGTTTCTCTCTGATCTCGCATCTCGGCACAGGTGTGGCGGAATTCTTCGCCATAAATGACATTTTTGTGCAAGATGTAGCAGATTAATGAAGTTAATGCAAGGGTGCAGGCAAGCTGCTTAGGAGCTGACATTTTTAACCCTGAAGAATGGGGAACAGGACAGGACAACACAAATCTCCAAACACAGCTGAGGTTCATTTCACGAAACACATCCTTAAACAGGCAACCAAGACAAAGAATGCAAACAGACCAAAAGAAGACACGGATGACAACATTGACGTTAACTGAATTTAACCAGTGTGGACATCTTGTTTTGGGGGTTATTGTGCACCCTCATTGGATATGTATATCCTGGTTGGATACGCGTGACGTCAACATCGTCCGATGTGTCTTCTTTTGATCTGTTCGGGTTCATTGTCGTGGTTGTCTATTTGAGGTGCTCCTACTACTAGTTGGAGGACCTCTTTCCTTTTGTTGCTTTAGTGATAGTTCAGTTGTTCACCTTGACTCTGTTCTGAGTTGTTCTTGTCTGTAGCAAGGTGCATTCCACCATCTCCTTGTTTCCAAGTCTTGGTTTAGGGATTTATGTGTACCCTCATTGGACGCCTCTATCCTGGTTAGGTTTCCATGACATCAACGTCGTCATCTGCGTCTTCTTTTGATCTTGTCAGGTTCTGTCTTGGTTGCCTATTTAAAGTTGTGTTTCGTGAAATAAACCTCAGCTGTGTTTGCAGGCACACGCGGCCAGTAGCATATGTCTTTTGCAATATGCGAAATAGCTTGCTCTCCAGAGTTATCTAGGTCTCTAATGCTTGTCACACACAAAAGAGAACGAGCTGAACTGCGGCATGACTATAAACCAAATCAATAACAATAAACATGTAGTCACGTGAAAAGTGAAGGCACTGCAGATATACAGAACACAGGCTTTGTTTCACCAAAAGTATGAGTGAAGCAGATCTTATAAGTGTGAGCATGCTGCCCTAAACTACTCTTTCAGCGAACAAGCACAAATGATCGGTAGAACTATTCAAAGCACGCACTCACTTTTATAGCTTTTTGTACGCTCAAGCCTAAAGGGATCTAGACACGAAAATGCTATCGCATTAAAAGACAATTGTTATGACTGCTCCAATTCCCATTCTCTTAAATTAGGTGCATCTAAGTTGTTTTTTCTTTCGTGTGAACTTGCTACTTTCTTAGTTAAATCATATTTTACCAGGAGTCTGACGACCATACTCTGTTTCATCGTAAGTAAGAGCGCAATAAAAGGTGTGAAAAGAAAAAACCATGAACACACAGACACACACAGACTTAAACCGCAATGTCACAATGCATCCACTGCACTTGGTCTATCTTGGATGAGCACAGAAAGAGAATGAACTGCATGACCTCGTGCTCTTGCCACCGCTGCATTCGCTTCATCAGCCCATAGCGTTGGCTGTACTCTGAACTGGAAGTAAATATTCAGATCTTAAGGTCTTAGGAGCCAAACCAACGAAGGTCATAAGGCACGCCCCAACGAAAAAACCGCGGGTTCATTTTGACCGACCGGAGATCTTATGACGTGCAACGAAATCTCGGTTACACGGCGCCATCCCAGTAAGCAGCGGCCTCCGCTAAACTGCGGGCACCTCGGCCATTACTCGGACCCGCCAAATGAGGATCCGTAGGACAGCGCTTTGGCTCAGAGCGAGTCTTCGAGGCCACCAAGATGTTTTTGTTGTTTGTGTTTTAATATTACTGAAAGTTAAGAGCGGCCGCATTGGCTGTGAAACAAAATATACCCACAAAATATAGTCGCACTACTCCGACAAGTGTGATAGTGAAAATGACTCCTGAACTTGATAAAAAATTAAATTGTCTCGGCCAGAGTGTCGAACCGAAATTTTTATCGGTTCAGTTCCGGTTCGGGTTCACGAATTTCGGTTCAGCTCCGGTTCAGTTCCGGGGACCGAAAAATAACGATTCGAACCGCTAAACTGAGAATATATTTTCCGCGTTCCTTTGGCTATAGGCACTTTTCAGGAGTGAAACAAGTAACTATATACCTTCTTTTTTTTCATTTGTTGAATCCACATTTATTTCCAGGTACCAAAAATAAATTGTGTTGTTTCATTTGGATGAAGCACTAAATGAAACGCTAGATTAACATATATGACTGCACATCTATTTCTTTTTACCTCAGTCGCATATTTTTCACCTGAATCTAAAGGTTATCAGTCTGGTGTGTCGCCTAAAATGAACGTGATTAGTAGACCATTGCGTCGCAATATTAAAGTCGAGTCCTACTGTGCTCTTGTACTTAAAAAAATTAATTACAGTGCATACAATCATAAAATGGGCACATTCTCGCCATATCTATCCTGAAGTCTAGATTATAAAATATGTTTCACAATATATATGATGACGATACAACTAAGCTAAAAGCAATAATATTTTCAAAATGTCAGGAAAGTTTTAGGATAAAACCTTTCAGTCTACCTTTTATAGAACACTGAGCGGCAAGCACAACGCTTGCTTTCCTGACTAATATTGTTTTCATTCAGCACCATGACGCAGGTGAATAATTATGCAGAAAAGAGTGACCTTCATATTCAGTACAGATCTGGCCTAAAATAGAGCGCATTGAAGTGCACATTTTCGACATAGCTTGGCGTTTGATGTTTTTCTTGACAAGATGCCGGTCAATTCACTTTGTAAATAAGCATCACCCTTGCTAATTGGTGATTTGTTGTTAAATAGAACAAAGTAGTATTTCATAGTCTACTCGACATTAAAGCTGCTTAATTGGTCACTTTCTGACGGTCTGCGTGCGCAATCGTCATAGTTCCGCCACGCGCCACTGTGTGCTTTGTTTTCATCCAGCCCACAGACACATAAAATCGTTGTTCATCAAATAAAAGAAGCAACAGACTTCTATATGTTTGAGAAGTTGAATACTTGTCAGGAACACATGTTATTTAAATCAGCTTCAAACTGAAAAAAAAAAAAAGAATTGCTAAGTTTCTTTCAAATAACTTATGCAAGTGCCTCTCCAGGATAAAAATGCCGGAAAAGATTTCCAGAGACGCTCATGCCCTAATATTAAACTAAATATTAGCAAAAGCGAAATTCAATGCGTCAAACTGCACAAGTTCCTCGGCGTTACCTTAGACCCAAGATTAAAAGGAAAAAAGCAAGCTGGGAGGATAGCCGAAGCATCAACTAAATTCGTAAATGCCATTCGGCGCATTGGCGGACTAAGATGGAGAAATGCTCCAAGATCCATGCTTGGGCTACACACTTCACTGGTTGTGAGCTGCATGATATATGCCCTACCTTTCACGCATCTCTGACACACAAAAAACTCGCTTAGAACGCATCCACCGCCGAGGACTACGAACCGCCTTAGGCGTTCCGAGAGCAGCACCTAATGAGTGCGTTTACCTGAGAATGACACAATTGGCACTTAATCAACTTGTACGTCTTCATCAAACCAGAAGTGGAGTGCCGTTGCTCAAGAAACTAGAAGCAAGACGTTCCAATTTAACCCTACATTTACAAGAGCTATGCAACGTTGAACCATCACTCCAGAAATCTCGTCCCCTAACTTGCGCTGAAGAACCGCCATGGTGCGAACCACCAGTAATGTGCGATCTACATCTCCCGGGAGTGTATAGGAAGGGAAATCTACCAGGAATTGTACTGCGGCAAATTGCTGAGAAGGTCCTTTCCTCAAAATACCCAGGAGCTCTACAGGTATATACCGATGGCTCCGTTCACTTTGGAACGTGCAGCGCTACCACGGCCTTTGTTATACCAAAGGAGAACACGACATGGAGTGGCCGCTTTCAAGCGGTGGTCAGCTCCAACACGGCAGAGCTTAAGGCCATTGAGAAGGCACTTAACTACATCACCTCACATACCCCACAAGCTGTAGTGCTAGTCACCGATTCAAGATCGGGCCTTCAACGCCTAGGTAACCCTGACTCCATGGACGAAACGACGGCCACCATTCAACTTACGTTAAAGCACTTACACAATTCTGGATTCAACATTGCATTTCAATGGGTACCTTCACATGTGGGACTGTTTGGTAATTCCGAAGCCGATAAACTCGCAGGAGCGGCACATGGACTGCTGCGCACTATTCCCAGTCCAACAGATTTCAATGCGACGCCAAAGTCCATCAAAAGTTACATAACTGAACTTTCTCCGACCACAGACTCCAAACATCAGCCATGCGTCACAAAGGGTCTTAAAAGAAAGAAGTGCACTCTCCTCATAAGAATATGCAGCAGAAGTGCATTTACAAATGCGTTTCTTTTTAAAATATCTGGAATAAAGAGCTCCAGGTGTCCGAACTGCAACGATGAATAAAACATTTGCCACATCCTCTTCAACTGCGAAGAATATAGCAATCCACGTCACCGGTTCGTCACCAAGCTCGCCAGAATTGGACTTCGTGATCCAGACGACGAGGACATCATCTATCCAAGTGGTTCAGCCCGTCGCCGCCAAATCATACAACACCTGCTACTGAACTTCCTCGACGAATCTGGTGTCGCAAACCGCCTGTGAAATAACTCGACATTAACTCTTAGCGCGTTCACGTCTTTATTTTATTTTTCTCTATTTTCCTTCCCCTTTCTTTATCCCCCTTTCTTTCCTTTCTCTCTACTTCTTTTCATGGGGAACCAGTTCAGCATTCCCGCTAGAACAACCTCCCCTGCTTTTCTCACGCCACCTCTCTCTCTCTCTCTCCCTTTATCTATATTGTCAAGTCTTCAGGTAGTAAATAAATATTTGTTATTGTCATCAATCAATTTGACCGTATGAAGTTCACATAACCGCTTGAGAC